TATAAAAGCTTGCTTGTTACTTAGACTGTATGCTGTTGCTTTGTTTGTCTTCATTTGTAGAGTACAATAGTTTGTGAAACCTTGTCTTGTTGGTTTTGTCTCTTTTAGCTTTGTTATATATATATATAGTGTTTCAGAAGCAGGAGCAGTAGGTTTCGGCTGGGACATGAAGTATCTCCAAGGAAGAATTGAGCTTCAGTCGCATCCTCAGTTCTGCATATATTTATTGCGTCTTGTATAAAAGTTTGGACCATATTGCATCTATATAGTCCATGTTCAATACTGTCTGTTTCGTTATTGCACATTTGGCATATCTCAGTATTCTTAATTTTCATTTTGTGTAATGTCTCATTAAAATAAATTGCTCTCATTAAAAGTCTGTATTGAAAATATTTCAGTTTTGTTTCTGATGTTGCCCTTTCATTTGTTAGGTAGATGTTTTTCCATTCTATATCATCTTGTAGGTTTAGTTTTTCTGTCCACTTGCTCTGCTGTTTTTTGGGACGCTCGATGTGTTTTCCCTTCAGCCTTTTATATGTATCTTTGTTTGTTTGCTTCTTTAGTTGATCTATGAAGCTATCTGATGTATTTTCGTTTGTTTGACTCATTTTATTTCTCCAAACATGTGGTATGGAGTTGATGACATGATACCAGTATAGGAAATTATCTCTTCTGAGGTTGTATCTTACAGCCAGGTCTTGGAATGGGATGAATAACTTGTTTTCATACAGTTGGTGTAAGTATATTAACCCATTGTTTTGCCATTCTGGTCTTTGTAATTTCTTCCCTTGAAACGTTATGCATTCATTGTTCCATATTACTTGATTATATGGGTTGTCAATTTCGGAAATGTTTTGATGGTTCAGTTTACACCAAATTTTATATATCTTTTTGATAGATGTTAGTTTAAGTTTTGAGGTTATCTCATGGTTTCCTACTTTCAAATTATACTTCCATATAAGTTCTCCTATATCTTCTAGATAATAGTTCCATAGGATTTTCCATTTGCTTTAATTTTCCTCATCTGTTAATCTTTTGATCCATTTCAGGTTCAGGTTTTTCGCATATGAGCTGAGGTGCAACATGTTGAGTCCCCCATCTTCCTTTTCAGCCATTAGTATTTTCCTTGCTATTTTGTCTCTTTTTCCATTCCAGATAAAGTTGAAGAGTTCACCTTCTATATTATTAGTCATCTCCTCTTTTGGCTCTCCTATTACGGATAAAGTGTATGCTAGCTGGGATGCTAGAAGTGATTTTATTATTGTGATTTTTCCAAGTGGGGTGAGATTCCTTTGTTTCCAAATTTTTATAAGATCTTTTATAGTTTTTGTTGGCTTTGTGTAGTTTATGTCTAGGATATCTCTTTTATCTAGGGGTATTGTGATACCCAGAATGTTAATTTCATTTTCTTCAAGGGTCGTTCCAATGCTTCTACAAGCATTCCTAATTTGTTCCTTCTCTTCTTCCTCTACTATAGCTCCAATCACCGCTACTATTGTTTTTTCATGATTTATCTTTAGGTCAGAGATTTCTCCAAATCTCTCAAATAATGACATCGCTGGTTCTAGGTTTTCTTTATTTGCCAAAAGAAGAGTTGTATCATCTGCATATTGTGTCAGCCTTACTTCAGTATTGTTTGGCATATTGATTCCACTAATTTGTTGTGAGTTTCTTATTGCATTAGCTAATATTTCGGCGCATATAATAAACAGGTATGGGCTCAAGGGACAGCCTTGTCGTACACCCCGCTGGAGAGGGAAATATTCTGATGTAAAGCCATTGTTCAAGACGCAGCTTATAATGCTTTTGTAGAATACCTTTACCCATGATATTATATCTTCACCAAAATTAAAATGTTTCATTGCTTTATAAATGAAAGGCCACTCTATAGAGTCAAAAGCTTTTTTAAAGTCGATGCACACTGCCAAGCCATTTCTTTGTTCTTTACAGAGGTGTTCTTTCAGATCTAAAATTAGTCTTACATTTTCTCCTATATACCTCTTTTTAATGAAACCTGACTGGTCGTATTTTATAATCATTGGAAGGACAGATTTTATTCTTTCTGAGATACTTTTCGTTTCGTGATTTCTTCTATAGTGATTTGACCTTCTAGTTGGTCTTTTTCATCCTCCTCTAGTTTGGTGAGGTTGACATTATTAAAGAATTCGATTTCGTATTTCTCTGTATTAGGTTTGTTAGATGAGTATAGTTCTTTGTAGAACTTTGCTTGTTCTTTCCGTATTTCCTTCTGGTCAGTTGTGACTTCCCCTGTTTCGTTTTCTAACTTCAACATTGTTTTGTTACAGTAGTTTCGTTTTTCTAATTTTAAGAAATATGCTGTGGGCTTTTCGCCTTCTTCTAGCCATCTCACTTTGCAGCGAAACATACAGCTTTTTGCCTTTTCTTCTTGGATTTCATTTATTTGTTGTTGTAATTCGCTTTCCTCGGCTTTAAGTTCTTCTTTATTTGGGTGGTTTGGGTTGAGTTTTAGTGTCTGGTCTATTTCTACGGCACGTTTGTGTTTGTTTTCTAGATCGGCTTTCTTTGCTTTTGATTTTTGGATTGCATATGTGTTGGACACATTTTTTATCCGAAACTTCGTCAGTTCCCATAGTCTAGCTATTAGGGTCCAGATCTCTGTTATTTTCTCTTGTTGCTTTGATTTCTTTCTTTACCTCGATGGTGTAATTTTGGTCTTGTAATAACTTGTTGTTATGTTTCCATAATCCTGGTCCTCTTTTCACCTTTACGAGATCGATGTTTAATAGAACAACTCGGTGGTCTCCCAATTTTCTTTTCTGTTCTACCTCTTTCAAGATCTTTACTTCTGTAGTTTGTTGGAGTAGTTCATTACTGATTAAGAAGTATTCAAGACGGCTTTTAATAGACCTATCATGATTTTCCCATGTAAATTCTTGTTTTTCTAAGTGTTTGAGTCTCCATACATCGTAAAGGTCATTGTCTGCCATCAGTTGTTGTATTTGTTCTCTTGTTTTAACATGTGTTTCTCTTCTACCACCTTCTTTGTCATTTTCTTTATCTAAAGGTACGTTGAAGTCACCTCCGACTATAATTTGATAGTCTAGCATATTGCTCAATTTGTTATTTAAATTATTAAAAATATCACTGTTGTCATGGTTGTGGCCATAGATGTTTAAGATTGCTACTAATTTGCCGTGAATGAGGCATTTTGTGAGAATATATCTACCTTCTTTGTCAATGTCGTTTTCAATTATTTCTGCATTTGCATTTTTATTAAAGAGGGTTCCTACTGAGTTTTTAGATTTGTTTGTGAAAAAAGCTGTCCTCCCCCACTGGTTTCTCCATATTTTATCCTGATTCTGTCCACAATGTGTTTCCTGCAGTAATGCTATGTCAAACTTTTCTTCTCTAAGATATTGAAAGATTTTCCTTCTTTTTATATTGTCTTGCATTCCCTTAACGTTAATGGTTACAATTTTAATGGACATTTATAGTATATTCTATATTTTTTATCCCTTACCTGCCTAGTTCTGACGTACATGATTATCTGATTTTGGTTCATGATGAGTGACTGATATTCTTCGATACGGAAAAAAAAGTTGCCAGTACAATTTTGCGACACCACGCGCTGAAAAGTATTTTTTGGACATGTAAAGACGTTAGTGGACCACAAAAAGGGGATTCAAAATTTCTTAGATGAAAAAAGTATTGAAAAGTTTGGGAATTGGGTATGAAAAGTCAAGTTTTTTCGAAAATGTTTATTGTTTACAAAATGGTGTCTCGACGTCGTTGATATACAGTTTTTTTCCCACCCATCTGATTTTTCGGCCATCTCTACGCAGGGACTGCAAGTTTATTTCTCTGTTTGCTGCAGCTCTCGCCTTTCTCCAGCTCTCAGGTAGGTCCTCTGCCGTTCTGACTTTTGTGTTTTAACCCAGGCGAGTTTTTTTATGTATTCCAAGTCAGCACTGTGGATAAAACGTGCGAGGATTGGCCTCGGGTCCCGAGTTCCAATTTTCCCTAGACGAAAATTTTTTGCAAGTTGGAAGTTTGCGTTGTAAGGTTTGTTTGGCGTTGATAGTTTGTCTTTTAGGAATCTTTTCAGTTCAATTTCAAGGTTCTCATCTGTGATTTTTGGAACGTCGTAGAAAATCAGGTTGTCTTTGCGGTTTTGTGCTTCGAGTTCTTGAATTTTGTCTAGTCTAAATCAGATCTGGTTGAGTCGAGTTTTTTATCAGTGTCTCTTTGTTTCTGTTCCATTTCAGTTAGTTTGGCCTTCATTTCGTCGCTAATTTGGGTTAATTTGGCCTTGAGCCTATCATGTCTTTCATTCAAAACGTCTAATTTCTCGTCCCAATACGTTTTTAATTCCTCCATAGCAGGATCTCTTCTAGGCATTTTCAGTTTTGAGAAATTTCGGAGTTACGACGTCAGGAGAAAATGGTTTGTTTTGATTTTTCGAAAACGAGGCTATGGATTGTTTCCTCTTTCTGTTGTAGTTTTTGGCCGGTTCAAGACCTTTCAGTTGGTGTTTACCTTCCCAAAATGTTCTACAGGCTGTTATCTTTGTTGTTCCATAATTATCTAAGCCTGTCTATCGTTGTTTTTCATGTTATTTCCCCGTTTTTATGGAGCTATTTCACAGCTGCTCCATTGTCCAAATTTCCATAGCAACCTCAATCTTTGGTTTTACAAAGTTGTATGATATTTGATAAGTGTAAAAGTTGTTTTTGGAGCATTTTTCTATAGCCATTTTATAGGGAAAATGATGAAAAAATGTACAATCTTTTAATTTAAAGTATGATCTGAATCGATTGCAAACTTCATATTTGCACATTTGATGTGATAAACCATTTGTGTCATATTGTGAAATTATGAAGTTTGCAATCGATTCAGCTCATAGTGTATTTTTGGAATTTTTGTGATAATCAATAGAAACCAATGGCCTCCATTGGAATCTGATGATATCCACATGTGAAGTCAATGGATGTAAGCCAATACAACCTTGGCTTGCCCAAACAGTTTATTATTTTCCATTTTTGACATTCTATTCTTCATGTTACATGTAAGAATGATTCATTTTGACCATGGGGGTATTTGCCAATTATCGGACCTCTTCCTTTGTTCCATGGGTAAGAAAAGCTATATACAAATATTGTCTGAGCGTTTTTTCGTATTTCTACTTTGGCCATGCCTAGAAAATAATCTTAGTGATAAACCTATCCTCATTCTTAATATTTTCGTAATCAAAAGTGTTCTCGGAGGGGAGTGTAATTCCACATCTGCCCTGAAACTGGGGCAACAGAAAGCATTCAACAGAAGGGGTGTATTATAGAGCTCATGCGCTACATCATCTTCAAGCAATTATATATATCGGCATGTGGAATGGAAAATAACTAGTAAAGAAAGAAAATTTGATATTTCGCACGAGCATTTTAAAATTTACTTTTCATTATTAAATCGAAGTAAATCTAAACTTATTTTGTGTGTTCTACGTTCCAAGTCTATTATACAGTTGAGCTTTCAACTAATATCCAGTGTGGTCAATACACAGAATTCAGCAATTGACTAGATCGATCTGTTAGATTTCCTTGTGTGTTTCATGGTAATAAAACGTTCGTTTTGGAGACCTCAAATAAAGTCATAATTACATTTATAAACGTTATATAATCAATCATTACAATATGTTATTGAGTAAAGATGATAGGCGATAGATATAGTTTATGAATATTTGGCATTTGCTCAGTTTTATTGTAATATGGTGTGAGACGGACTCATAAACTGAAATGCAATTATAAAGGTGCCATTTTAATAAGAGACATATTTGGCAAGTGTTCAAAGATACACGTATATCCACACGAACGTATCCATTAGGAGATATAAATCATCCGCCAACCCATCATAGTCTAATCAGATCTGCGTCCTTCCATTTGGAAGACTGTGAGTATGATTGTTTGATGGACTCAGAAGCTTGTTGACTTCACCAGACTCCATAGCCAACTTTTCAAACGTTCTGCTTTTATTTTGATCTTTGATAAGTCTTTGCTGTGAGCTAGCCACTCGTACGGATCCACTGCCCCGTGAGCCACTACCGCTTGAACTATCTGGCTCAGGTTTGGTTGGAACACGCCGTGTTGTGTACCGGGTATTATCGTAGCGCATTGTCGATCTAAAGCTCTGGTTCATGGGGCGTCTGTATTTGCAACAGCATGGAAACCATTTTGACAGGATAATCCGTAGATCGATCTGAAGTGAAACAATGAGAAATTAACAAAACTATGCTTCTAATATCTCAATTCGGTTGTCGCACAGCTGCCCAAAATTAATATAATTCATTACACATGTAAATTGTCAGATATAACCCACAGACAGTTTTAGAGGGTCAGATTTATATGACTAGGGGAATGCCAATGACCTATTTTCTATTTTACATATTTTGGCTAAATATATTATATTTTGTGGCTGGCCGAATTTGCCACAACAATTGGGTTCTGATAATATCTATATGAGAGGAACACATTCATGGTTTCGAAAAATGTCAGATTGAATATCTTTAAGTGTATATTTACAACTTAACGCGTTATATTACCATGTTGTTGCCCGGAATGTCTAATGTGCAAAATGCGTAACGCAAAGTTCCTTTCAATTAGCAATTTTTATTGTTTTTCCAGTTTACGCAAGGGTGACATAACAATATACAGGTAATAATATGGAATTATGAAGCCGACACATTATTAATCACACCCTATTGTGGTTCTAAATATTGTACAGAACAATGTAGGTAAGGGACATAATTATAGAAATGAATTGTTATATTTTTACGTTCATTTTCTCTTGCCAGGGTTCTACTAATGTTCAGACTATTGGTAGGTGAGCACAACTTGAACTATACGTATAGAAGAGGTGAAGACCAGTGTAAACGATGTAAACTGTGTAACCCATTCCAGTTAGAGACGGTTGAACATTTCTTAATGCATTGCTCTGCCGCACAATACTCCATATACAGGCAAGAATTTAATTAAACAATTAGCTTAAGGCCTCCTCACACATGAACGAATCCACTAAACGCAGCTTTGCGAAATCGGTCAATTGTTAATTCTATCGATTGGGAACCAAGGAGGATTGGCTCCCAGAATGCAATTCCGATATTTTGCCATATATGGACATCATTGCCCTGTCCAAAATTCAAAATTTAAACAGTTGCCACTTCTCAATCTCTATCACTTCTTGGTCTTATTAGTATTTCTTCACAAAAAAAGATTCAAACACATAGATATTAGTTCAAATCTTTTGATTAATGATTGTGGATTTATACCCAGATAAATGTCAGTCAATAATGACGCTAGCTTTGTTTGAAGATATCGCTGTTGCATTCTGGCTGCCAATCCTCCTTGCTCCCAGCCCATGGTTGCAACTCCCCAAGCAATGTGTTCACAGTGCTGATCATGTTCACATCTTGATCACTTTTAAAGTGAGTTTTGAAATTTTTGTTTGGAAAAAAGACAAAAAACTCGAAATTCAAATTTTGAAGTGAAAAAATGGCGAGGCTCGTTTTGAATTTCGCGACATGACTCCATGTATCGAGATGGAAACCAATGTCAGTGAATTAATATAATCTCATAAAAATTCATTCGCCAATTCGCACCGTCTGGGACCATGGGAGACTCACACCGACATAATGATACTTTGTTTGAGACATTGTCACTACTTAGCGTCAGTCTTCATCAATATAGTCTAGTCTGCTATGCAAGATCTATGACTGAAAAATGAATACATATGTGAGTTGATGATGTCATAGGCAGACACAATGACATGCCTTCCGACAAGGATTTAGAGCAACATGGAAGTGAATTGTGTCGTGCTTCAATTACATAGTATAGCACTTAATTGATGTGATTTAATTACAAAACACAAAGGGCAATATATCATTCCAAATGTCATTCAACATTGATTTATGTTTATCTCTACTTAAAGTCATGAATACGAGAGAATAGTCTACTTGACGTAATGTTACTCGAAAAGGTTTTTAAAATAAATTAATCAAGTGGGGGTCTAACATCAAAATGTAATATAAGATAATGGATGGCGAATTCAATTCAACGCTAAAATGTAGTTGAGTTCTGTAATTAAAGCATTATGTATACCATGATAAAGAGGGATAAATATATTTGCCTTTAAAATTACATTTTTATTTGTATCTGATTGAAATGTATAGCTGAAGGAACGCCTTAAATCTTCACAATGGTCTATATTTCAAATTGCAATGTATTTTTCCGTTGTGAAAAACGAATTTTAAATTGTACAGTCTCATCTAAATCCCATTTATAACAAAAGGAAATATACTCGTATGTAAAAGCAGATTTGAATTATAGAGCATTGCGACCTTTATTAGTTGCGTTGCTTAGGATAAAGAAGGTGTTGCCTCAAAATCCATTTGATGAAATTGTTATTAATGGGATCTGTATATTCCCAATGAGGGTAGAATATAAATGTAGTTGATCATGCTCACCTTGAAGCTATCATTGAGGAAGCCATATATAATAGGATTCTGAAAGCTGTTAGACATGGCTAGCCAATGCACGCAGTAGTATATGATGGTCAGAATATCCTCATAAGCCATGAGATCTGGACGGAAGTCTAGCACGAGGGCAAATAAATGGAGCGGGAACCAGCATAGTCCAAATAGAGCTACGATTGTAACCAGCATTTGGACAACCTGAAAAATAAAGATTTTCTTTTATTTTACATCGGATAAAACTGTGGCCAAATTACGTATACTATACTAGTATTTGGTTCTTTACCAACATGATCTAGATTAGATTTACAGGGTGGGCTAAAATCGATACATAAGTTGAAACTATATTCACACAAAGCTAGGCAAGGTGTGTCCGATTCCAGCCAATCTGAACAGAGTATCCACATAATGTACAGTGTGTGAAATATCAATAACACATGCAAGGTCGCTAGTTAAACAGTTGTCATGGTGATGAAAGGATTTTCCCATTGGATTTGATGGCTTGCCAACTTGACCATTGCAAATTTCATTGATGTGTTATTTTAGTGATTTCGTTTCTAGTTTATAGAAAAAATTGCAATGTGTGAAAAAAATTTAAGCCCAAAACTTAATGCTGTAGCTGCTTCATACCACTCAGGCATTGTTTCCTAAAGGTTTGGAAACAACACCTTCATGATATGATTCAGCAAACAATACATTGAGTCTTGGGCTTTAAGTCCTTTAATGTCAAACATGATACATGATTGTGAAGATAAATGGGATCAAAAGGAACAAAGAAATTTGCTTTTTGCGAGGCAATGGTACATTGTCGATGTAATATACGAAATTTGACGAATGATATGTAGCCTCAACATACACCCCTAGCTAGTTTAAGCGTCCTAGATCCTTAGTTATGTCTAAAATATACAGTATCTTGTTTGAAATTAAAATTTCTTTAGATTTGAACAGTTGTCAAATCTCAAAGTTTGAAGAATATCCATTAAAGTAAATGGCATACCACATACAGGTATATCAGTTACGAAAATAAAATATTCATGGGAAGGGTAAATAATAGTCTCGCTGTTGTTAATTAATCAGTAGGACTTTATTTGCGTCTTCGAACCTCCATGTTTATAACATAATACAAATCACTCCAAATTAACAACATACACAAGTTAATCTGCGTGGTAGAAATGCATATTATAAGCAAACTGATAATACCAGGAGCACGTTTGTTCTATTACTTAATATACAAACTAATTAATTTGCGTGTTGGATCGACATTTACTGTCGCGCGGCTACTGCAATTTCCGAATCTTCATGTCATGATGTAGAATACGACGTGGTAACCCTCACACAAATGACGCAATTACAGAAGTTCTTGTTTGAGTTATTATGCAACCGGAATGAATTGTTGATGCAAGATTCTTGACTGATGGACCAATAGGAGGGCGCCCACACGATCGAATAGGAAAACAATTCAATAAGTTGATTCTAACATTAAAACGTTAAACCTGCTAAAAAGCTAACATTAAAATTTTTCGAACCCTAATTGCATCAGACGAAATCGTGAAAAAAATTGTGTTCCGTTGATCAAAGTTTCCAGTTTTCAAATGGGAAATAACTATTCAAATCTCTAGTTATTAAGTAAGTACGAACTTTATTACCATCAGAAGAAATATGACAGTGATTACTGATAACTGATAAATCTTTACCATATTGAGAAAATCTACAATTCAAATGATAACCGTAATAGGATTCGAAATATCAAATGACTTCTAATCGCTTCAACATGAATGAGCTGTTGCTGGTTTCTAGATAGAAAGCATTTGAAAAAAGAACATTGTAATACCCTCCTCTTTTTTGGTCAGTCGGTCTTTGTTGTCCACACTCAATCTGTACCGGTTATTGTCATGTCGAAAGTGGACACTAACCCCAGGGAACTATCTTTTCTGTTACAGAGGGAATTATTACAATATTTAGATATATTACTATTACAATATTTACAATATTTTAGAGATACTAGAATAACTCCAGCTTATTTCACTCGAAATCAAATTGATCCCAGTAACTGTATCCTTATTTATATGTATTCGGGTAGAAAATACGATATTCTTAAGTTGCACTTCTCTCCATAAGTTTCGCAATCTGAAATTTTCACTGGATGGCACCTCAAAGCCATCCATCTCAAAGCCTGAAAATGTTTGAATCTCATTCTTGTTGTTAAATTACAATAGTTGGAAGATGACAAATGTAATCATTTTAAATCATTTCAAATATAAAAAGACTTTGATAAGTAATCCAAGAAGGTACTTCCGGTTGCCGAACTCACAAATGAGAGTGTACATTTTAAGGTCACGATAACCCTTGAGAATTATTTAACCGTGTTTAGGTGGTAATCCAATCACGTTTTTACATACAGAAATAGTATGGAATTTGTAAAAACATTTCCATTGATTGGAAAAAGTAATTCATCGAATCATATGGAAATGCCATGCTTTTTATCGCACCCTAAGGTGCTTGTAATCAGTTTGCCGGGCGGTTGGGCAGGCGGGCGGGCGTCCCGAATAATCTTGTCTACAGGTTTCCAGCCAAACCGTTTGAGGGATTCATTTAAAATTCTCAGGGATGTTTCTACCTATGAAAGTTTAGAACTGATTCGTTTTTCGGCATTCTGGGTAAATGTTAAAGTGCCCGATAAAGTATAAAATGCGCATGCGTCCAGGTGTTGATAAACTATAAATAGCGAAAATCCAGAATTTGTCACCACAAGGTAAGCCAGGATGTGTTGAGAGAACAGCTAGTGTTGATATTGAATTTATATGTAGCCAGATAAGTTTCCTTATTGAAATTACATATGGTTATTAGCAATACTTTGTAGGTGCTAAATAATAAAATATTTAGAGTATATATGAGAGAAATTGGTCATTTCGAACCTGTTGAAAAGTTTGTGGCTCTCGGCTACACCGGGGAATTTACTTCCATGAGTACACACATAAATGTGGGGTTCCCCAAGAGGTACGCGACAAGGTGACCTGGCATCAAATGTGCGACTAAATGCTACTATCGAGAAGATAAAATAACGAATACGACAATAAGTTATTGCATGTGACAATTCCGAGCCTTCATCTCACTGAAGTATTTTGAAGTGAAAATAGGATTTTTGTTTTGATACATGGATTCAGATGAACGTAACTTTATTCTGACAACTAATCAAAACTGAACAAAATTGATTGTACGTAACAGACAATTTATTGTTTTACAATGTTTTGATTGGCTAAACGAATGAAACCAACAAATTCAGCTGATACGCAGGCCAGCTGCGCGCTACACTAAATAAGAAAATTTAATTTTCAAATCACGCTTGAATTTCCCGGGGAATCGTCTAACGAGACTCCGCGAGATTTCTCGAGAGAGCTCTCTCTTTTGGAGGCATGACCCACCCCATACAAGGAACTAATGTCGTGCCATTTTAGTTTCAAAAACGAGTCTTTTCTCGACATTTTGGTGTATAGAACATTATTTTTCTTCGACGGGAAATAAGTTTTTAGAAGGCTCAAAGAAGGCTGGTACGTTTTGAGTGATAGATTTAGGGTAAGTCTGCAAAAGCGTATCACAACCGGGCCATTAAAGATTGGGGCTGAATGTTGACTTGATTTTCTTCAAAATAAATCGTATTTTTTGTAATTTAAAACAGAATTAATGTTCCCCCGGTCAATGTAGCGATATTTAACAAATAATCGGAGGTAACCCAACTTCCGGTTTCAGGAATTATCGAATATTTCTAGGAAATATATGAAAAATAATGATGAATTCCATCATAATTTTTTTTATTTGTGTTTATTTTAGGTGTAACACTGTCTTGGGGCGATAAATGTTGACTTATAGCTGGTTACTGATATCGACTACATTTTGAAGGTAATTTTTTGTAAAATCTCATTAGTAGTAATGTGTGCACCCACTGTAGACTCTTTGAATTGTATCAAGCCTTACCTGTATCATTTCACAGTTATTCATTTTGGTCTGTTTGTGTCAGTGAGTGCAGCAGGCCCGTACCCAGAATTTTCCAAGGGGGGTTCACTTTTCCCAAAAATTCTAGGGGGGTTCACTTTGGCAAATTTGGCCAAAAATCACTCAAAAAATAGTAAGAATGGTGAAAAACTGCATGATTTTGAAAGAACTTTTGGCCAGGGGGGGTTCGCCCGAACCCCCCGAACCCCCCCCTGGCTACGGGCCTGAGCAGATTTGTGATAATCATGACCATTGAGATTTGGACACTGGATTCCGGACGAATAGGATTTGGACGATTGGGTTTCGGACACATGGGATTCCATAGCTAGGCCCTGGGCGACATGTACAAAAATTTGAAAAGAGCCGGGAACTTGACTTGATTTTTTCATACATGTTCCTGGGCCTGTGGGATTGAATTCTGACAACTGAAATTCAGACAACTTTGAATCGGATCATTGGTGTATGGACCCATGTGATTCGGACCAATCAGATTCAGACCATTGCGATTCGAACCAATGCGGCAACCCTATTATAATCAGTTGCTGTACCATTTTTATTTTTTGCATGCAATTTAATTTCACCCAAATACCAATGGTGGTATAAAATTGCATTAATTCTGACAACTTAGAATTGAACCATTGGAATATGGACCAATGGGATTTAAGCCAGTCGGATTTGGACCATTGCGATTCAAACCTATATCATGGCAACCCCATTATAATCAGTTGCTCTACTCCCAGTATTTTTTTTGCATGCAATTAATTACACCCGACTCCCAATAATGGTAAAATCGCAAAAGATAATTGTGGCGATATTTGCCAAATAAAGCCCCGGTGTAATATTTATACACTGTGTACTATACAATTTGATTACTGTACATTATTGAACTATTGCTTGTGCCATAGGCATTACTTTTAAAACTTCAGGGAGTCTAAGGGTTACTTAGGTTTAAAAATCTTGAAGATTCAAAGAATAGGCCAAGTCAAATTTTAGCTTTTGAAATTTGCAAAACTTATGTCAGTGAAATTGTGATTTCTCATAATTTGCAACATTGAATTGCTTCAAACATACCGTATACCGGGAAAACAATATTGTTTTTTTTCCAAAATAACTTACAACTAAGACCTGGGAGAAACAGGACTTTCCCTCAAATTGAATGGGATTGGTGTTACACTGATTGATGTTAAGTACAGGGGTGTAGTCAGGATCCA